AAGAACTCAAAGAAGAAAAAATGGTTACCCACCTTTGTAACTGTTGTTCTTCGAGATGTGCTGCTCATATCCATTCCAAACTCGCCCCCCTTTCCCTCTGTCAGAGTAGCTGGCAAGAAGGAACCGAGGAGGCGCCCGGGTCGGCGGGGGTATATATTGAGCCCCATGAAGGCGCTATTCCAGGGGGCTCCACAGCCTACCCGCTGGATGTTGCTAGGGTAAAACTTTCCGACAGCCATGCACGCGGCGCACGCACACCCTAATTGGAATAGATATGAGCAACACATCTCGAAGAACAACAGTTACAAAGGTGAGTAACCGTTTTTTCTTGCACATGGCACTTTGTCCACCAATCACTCTACACTTGACTCCATACCTCCTCTCGCAGAACTCAGGCCAAATCCTCCACCCCAGTCTGGAACTCCTCCATCTGAAGGCTTGGCCCCTTCATCGTTCTAGGATCCAGAAATGATCTGTTCAGAAGAGGTGAAAGAGATTCTTTTAAATAGCAGCCGTGAGGCAACTCACCATACTGACCTCTATAAATGGAAAAGATTTCATACTTGGTACGATGGCAAACATATCTTGGCAATGAACACTCCTTTGCCATTTATTCTAGACTGCATCCTAGAACTTAAAAAATCAGGACTATCCATAGTTTCCATTTGCATACACCTCACCGCCATCACTGCATTCCATCCCCAGATATTTACCCATCCAATGACAAAATAAGGTTCCTTAAGGACCTTCAAAACCTTTGCCCTCAAATACAGGACCCCATCCTACCTTGGGATCCCAGCCTAGTTCTGTGCTGTCTCATAGGGCCTCCATTTGAGTCCATAGCAACATACTCCTACATTCACCTATCCATGAACACAGCGTTTCTCACAGCAATCACATCTGCAAGATAGGTAGAAGAGAAAGGTGCTCTCATGGCGTACCCTCCATACACAATCTTGTATAAAGACAAGGTCATCTTACGACCACAGCCAAAATCTTTACCCAAGAGGCCATCCTCTTTTCACCTAAACCAACCTATCCACCTTCCTTCTTTCTTCCCCAAGCCATGTGGCAACCAACATGAAGTCACGCTGCACACATAGGATGTCAGACGAGCATTAGCCTTTTACATTCACAGGGTCAAATCTTTCCGACAGTCGCCACACTTATTCCCCTCCATTGCAGAAAGATCAAAGGGATCAGCCATATCCAAATAATCTCTCTCTAAATGGATCCCGGAGTGCACCAACCTTTATCACCAATGTACCAAGGACGCAAGCTGTCACCCCCACCTGGAACTCGAACGCATTCTACTCACTCACTGTCCACCTCGATCACCTTTCTGAACAATGTGCCAATTATTGACATTTGCCAAGTGGCCACCTGGGCATGCTTGGACACTTTTAGCCAACACTATGCAATTACCCATGATGTGGCATCAGATGCCCTGCTAGGACACACTGTCCTATCTGCCTTAGTAGATGTCACCCTGAAGCCCCAGCCTTCCATCTAGGGGCACTACTCTACAGTCACCTAGAGTAAAGCACTGTGGCAGGGCGGCGACTCACCGGTGCGGTGCCTCCTGCTGGTTGTCCAGGGAATTAGCTCTTTTCCAGCTCCACAGCGCCCTCTGCCGGCTGATGCCTCGCCTGCCGTTGGCCCCCGTGTCCCTCCCAGACCCCAGTGCCCTTTACATCAGGGTTTCTGCCCACCACAGTACCCCCTCACTCTGGGTCTCCCCTCCCAGGGGAACCCCCAACCCCCTATCCCCACCTTGCCTCAGTGGCTACTGCCAGTCTCCATTTAGCCCCTGCTCCCTGGGGCAGACGCCGTCTGTTAACCACTCGTCATCGGCAAGGGGGGTTGGACCAGCTGCCTCTGCCTATCTCTGGGCTGCCCCTCTGCAGTCCCAGTACCTATTTAGCCCTTTTAGCAAGGCCTGCAGCCTGGGGTTTTTCCTGGCTGGAGCTCCCCAGCTCCCTCTGCCCTTCCCCAGCACTGTTCAGCCTCAGGTACTCTTCTCAGCTCCCAGGCAGCCAGGTCCTTCTCTCTCAGACAGCTAGAGAGAGACTCTCCTAGTCTCTGGCCCTCAGCCCTCTTATAGGGCCAGCCGTGGCCTGATTGGGGCGTGGCCCCACCTGTGGCTGCTTCCCCCAATCAGCCTAGCTTCTCCCCCGCCGCTGCCCTTTCCCAGGGCTGTTTTAAGCCCTTCAGGGCAGGAGCGGGGTGATCACCCCGCTACAAGCACCCATAGGGATGTCACTCAAAGAAGAAAACGTTATTCACCCCGTGCAGTAACTGAAGTTCTTCGAGATGTGTGTCCCTATGGGTGCTTCATTACCTGCCCTCCTCCCCGCTGCATCATAGTTCAAATGTGGACGCTGCGGGAGAGAAGGAACTGAGGACAGCATAGTGTTATATAGACACCACTCACAGCACAAGATGGGGAGGAGCGCATGTGCGGCCCAACGTGCACTGCTTCTGAAGATCTCTGATCCCAGATGCAGGAGGTGCTACCACACCTACAGTGAAGCACCCATAGGGACACACATCTGGAAGAACCTCAGTTACTGCACAGGTAAGTAAGCTTCTCATCTGTGGTATGCCCTATACCCACCCCCTACAACTTGAGTCTGATCAACTCAGCATCGTTTTGCCAAATAAAGGAACCTGAGTAATGAAATCCAGAATCAAACTGAGTGATTTGGATCCCAGAGAACTGGAGGAAGTGTTCTCCCAGAACTGGACATGCTCTTCTGGATAAGCCAAGTAGAAAAGATCTTGGAGGGAATCCCAACAATGAGATTTTTTAAAATGAAGATGATAGTATGTTTTGGACTGTCTTTTCATTTTTGAACCCCCACTCTCCCTGTGTGTGTGAGAGACACTGACAATGCTGCTGGCTCTCACAGATGTACAATGACATACGGGGCTTTGACCCTGCTGCAGAACCTCTTGCTAAAGGACCCGAAAGAAAGCAAAGTGCTCAGATCTGTATAAAGTGCCACCAGACTGTGCTGAGCTCACAGATTCTCCCTGACCCCTCAAAATGCCAATTAACTAATGCTGTACTCCTCCTCTAGCCCCACATCTGCCACCCACATCCCGTTTTGACAATTTCACAACAAAAACAATCTGTTTCTTTCATTTCAAAGTGACTTTTTGTTTTGACCTGTAAATTTACTTATTCTAAAATTGTGTGAAAAAAAGATCAAAATTGGAATGAAAAGTTTTGAAATGATCAATTCAAAATGTTTCAGTTGATTCAAACTGAGAAAAAATTCAGAGTTTTGATTTGCAAAAATTTTCAGCATTCCACATTTCATTCCCATTTGGAATGGGAAAAAAATTAGAAATATTGAAAATTCTCAGTGGGAATATCATTTCCTATCCAGTCCTTATCATCAAAGTGCTTTATAAAGCGGGTCATTATCATGATTCCGATTTTACACTTGTGGAAATTAAGGCACAGAAAGGGGAAGTGCTTTGCCTACAGTCACCCAGCAAGCCAAGGTCAGACCTGTGAACAGAAACCATGTCTTATGAATCCCAGTGCCCAATTTTAGCCACAATACTACACTGCCCCTAAGCAGCAGTCAAAGTTGCACAGGTGTCTTCAGACAGTTAAATAGTCAAGCTGGCTTACGTTTTTTTAAATCAAAAGGATTCTTATTAAAAATGGCCTTTTTAAAATAACTTTTGCAAAACTCATGGGTTTCCCCACCTTGAAATTTTTTGTTTTTTGAAAAATGTAAATAGAAACCATAAATAAAAATGTGGCCTGTTGGTTTTTCTATTTTTTTTCTTTTTTGATTTTTTTTCATCTTCCTCTTTAGCCTTCTTGTGCTCAGTCTATGTTTGATCCTCTTCTTCCTCTTCTTATCTATTGTAATTCATTCCTTTTTTATTTGGTTTTCTTCTTTGATTGAAATTCTTAATACTTTTTGTTCTTCTTTCTCAATCTTCTTCAAGTTTGGATTTTTTCCATGCTCATTCTTCTTCCGTCTTCTTTATTCTCAATCTTTTTCTTCAAGTTTGGAGTTCTTCATGTTTCTTCTTCATACTGTTCCATCTTCTTCATGCTCAATCTTCTTCTGCTGTGTTCTTTTGTTCAATATTATTATTCAAGTCTGGATTTCTTCATGCTCATTCTTCTTCTGTCTTCATGCTCAGTTTTCTTCACTTTGAGATTTCTTTGTGTTCATGTAACCCACACACCTGCTGGGTGTGGTGTTCTGTCCCATCTAGTGGCACGGAGACCTCTTAGAGAGAGAGATAAAATGAGTGCTTAACAAGCAGTTGGCTTTTAGCTCATGCTGTAGAGGCTCATGCACTAACCTTCAGAAGTCCCCAGTTTGACTCCCGCCCACCAACGTCTGTCAGCATTACACTCACTTTTCATCTTGTTCTAGTTTCTTCTTGCTCAATCTTTTCTCTCATTAATGCTCAGTCATTCTTCTCCATCACTTTTGAGTTTCTTCATGTTTGGTTCTCATCTTCTTGGTTTTCTGGTCTTCCTCACATTTGCTCTTCCTTGTGTTTGTTGGCACTTCTTTGTAGTCTTCTTCTTTGTGTTCATATTCAGTGCTTCTTGTTTTTCAAATTCAGGAATCTCTGCAATGGTTGATTTGCTTTCTTCATGTTTTTCACGTTTCACCTTCTTCATATTTTTCTTCTACTTTTATTAGGTCCTTGTATTTGCTCTTCTTCATGATAGGTCTTCTTTTCCATGTTCTCCCTTTTCCAGGAGGAGAGTGATAGTCTAATGGTTAAAGCAGAAGCACCTGGGAATCAGGACTTCTCATTTCTATTTTTAAATCTGGAAGGAAAGTGGGATTTAGGGTTGAACTAAGAGGGCCTAGGAGTCAGGACTCCAGAGTTCTATTCCCACCGCGGGTGGGTGACTAGTATCTCTTGTTTAGTGCAGTGAATCTGGAAGGTGGGACACTTGGGTTCTTTTCCCAGCTGTGATCTGGTGTGGCGTTTCTGATCTTCTTTCTTAACCCACAATCTGTTACTTTCAGGTCTTTGCAGAGCAAGTTTCCGTGGGAAAGAATTCATTACGGTCTTCATGCAAAACTATGACCAAAGTACCAGTGCAGATTGCAAGCTGTTCATCACTGGTTACCATGCCTCCACTACGGTTACTGTGACGGTGAACAAGGATATGTTTCGGAGAGTGACGCCTGTTGGAGAAGCACAGACGGTGACCGTGCAGATCCCAGCCTCGGTAGAGATGTTTGGGAGCGAAACATTTGATAGCACCATCCTGATTCAGGCTGACAAAGACATCTCTGTCCTGTCAGTTAACTCAAAGCCCAATACCATCGATACCACTGTAGTGTATCCCACTGAGAAGTTGGGTACTGTATATTACGTTGTAACTCCAGCTGACAAACACAGCTACAAAGAGTTTGCTGTCGTAGCAGGGCAGGCTCCCACTACAGTTGATATTTACTTGAAAAGGGCTGTAATGTTCAAACAGGGGAACTATGCTGCTGGGAGCAAACTCACTGTTGCCCTCACTCCCTACCAAGCCTTGCAACTGCAAAGCTCTGCGGATTTATCTGGCACCAAAATCGAGTCTCGGGAACATGTGGCCGTCTTGACTGGGCACAGCTGTGCTGCCCAAAACACTGCTTGTGATCACGCTGTCGAGCAGCTCCTGCCCGTCTCCAGCTGGGGCAGCACATACATCGTCCCTCCTCTGTCCTTCCAGAACAAGTATGACATTGCGTACATCGTCGCCTCCCAAAACACGCGCATTGACTATCAGTCAGGGCCCACACGAGCTTCCCGCAACATATTGGCCGGCCAGGTTGTTGAATTTGAAGTCCAAGTCTCTCACTCACTTTACATCTCTGCTAGTGCCAGCATCCAGGTTCTTCTCTTCTTCACTGGTTCTAAAAATGAGAAATCCACGTATGACCCGTTCCTCATCAACATCCCACCCGTCACGAACTACTGCCAGTCCTACCACATTGATGGGGTGAAGGATTTTGAGAACCATGTGCTGATCATAGTCAAGAGCTCAGAGTCCAGCAGGATCACCTCTGATCAGAGAGCCATAGGAAATGTCCAGTGGAGGCAGATCCCTGGCACGGAGTATTCTTGGGGAGAGTACAACTTCGGCACAAAGATTAGTACACTTTCCATACAGCACCCCACCTCTCCCTTCGGTCTGCTGAGCTTTGGAGGGAACAATCACGGTGGATATGGCTCAGCTGGCCTTTGTGCACGCAGTAAGTAATTTTTGTGTTTCTATAATTCCCAGGCAATAAGTAATTTTGTGCTTGTTTAATATCCAGGCAACACTTCACCCCCCCAAGAACTGCATAGGATGGGAAATGACAACAAATATACACAATGAGGCTGTACACAGCTTGAGATCAAGCTTTGCCTCCTTTGTTACAAGGCCCCCTCACCCTGCACAGAGATACCTAGTGGCTGAAAAATGGAGTGCAAACAAACAAATCATCCTGCCAGTCCATGGCATACGTGAGTTCTTGTATAACTGGCTGGTTGAATCTTTGTAGGTAACCCGACCCTGTCCTGCAGCTCTGTTCAGTGCAGGAAGAAAGAGACGTGTCAGATTGTAGATGGCCGTCCGGAGTGTGTGGCTGAGTCAGAATCCACCTGCTGGGCTCAGGGAGACCCACATTATCACACCTTCGATGGGCGGAATTTCGACTTCATGGGCACCTGCACCTACACCATCGCCAAGACCTGTGGCTCAGACTCAACTCTCCCGTCGTTCAGTGTCAAGGCCAAGAACGACAACAGGGGCAACACGCGTGTTTCCTATGTTGGTTATGTGACGGTTGAAGTCTATAATGTCACTGTCTCAGTGGTCAGAGATGAGACTGGATTTGTGAGGGTAAGAGAGCAATGTGAATAGATACTGATACTTTGTTTTCTGCTTATGTTTTAAGGGTAGATTTGGTGATGCGAACATAAAATCGCATTTGCTAGAGGCAGCTGCTGGAAAGTTTTACTACAGAGATTCACACTTCTACTTTAGATCTGAACAACAACTCACTGCTATTCCAGCCTCCCTTCCCCTTCATCTATACTTCTCCTTCCCCCCTTCCCCTTCATCTCTGCCAGTGCCCCTCAGTCCTGACCTACAGCCCCCTGCTACTCCGGCTCTGGGCTCTCCTCACACAAAGTGGTGCCAGTGTCTCTCAATCTCAACTCACAGTTCCCCAGAAACTCCAGCCCTGGGCTCCCCAAATACACACAGATCTGCTGGTGGTCATCAATCCAGCCCCCCAGTCTCCTCCCCGCACACTATCCCAGCCCTAGGCTACCCCCACAGCCCCACAAACATACAGCTTTACTATCCCAGCTCTGGGATCCCCTCCCTCTCACAATTCTGCTCATGTAACTCTCTACCTCTGACTTCAGCAGAGCGTGACATGCTACATGGTGGCTTTATATAGAAAAATCTGTGTCGGAGATTTCCAAGGATGACTTGGGTATGTAACTACATTGCAATTAATGGGAGTTGTGTGGCTAAATCCCCTAGCTAACCTTGCAAATCTCAACGTATTATTATTTATTATTTGTACTGCAGTGCCACATAGCAGCCTCAGTGCAGGGTCAGTAAGTCCTTCACTGTGCAAGATTCCTTTGGGTAATGCACCCAAAACAATGTCTGTTTCTTGTGGTTCCTTTCCCAGGTGAATGATCAGTGCTCCCGCCTTCCCATCTCCCTGCTCGAGGGGAAGCTGAAGGTGTATCAGAGTGGAGGTTATGTGGTCATTGAGACTGACTTTTCCCTGAGGGTCTCCTATGACTGGAAGAGCTACCTGGTGGTGAAGATCTCCAGCAGCTTCTCGGAGAGCGTGTGCGGCCTGTGTGGCAACTACAACGGGAAACCTGGGGATGACTTTGCCACCCCCACGGGGGCACTAGCTGCCAGCCCCGTTGAGTTCGGGAAGAGCTGGAAGGTGGAGGATGGGGACAGGTTCTGCTGGGACGACTGCCACGGGGAATGCAAGAGCTGCTCCCCAGAGCTGGTCAGCAGGTTCAAAGCTGAGCCCTTCTGCGGCTGGATCACCAAAGAGGGGAGTGGCCCCTTCAGCCGGTGCCACGCCGTGATCGACCCCAAAATCTACCTGGACAACTGCGTCTATGACTTGTGCATGAATGATGGCCGCAAGGAGATGCTGTGCTGGGCGCTGACAACCTACGCTGATGCCTGCCGGAGAGAGGGGGTGGCCATCTCCGAGTGGAGGATATCCACAGGGTGCTGTGAGTATACCCAGGGTGACAAAGAGATGCTGGCTCATGACCTTCAGGCAACAGGTTTTAGTAGCAGAGTTTGAAGCCAATGGCAAAATGGGAACAGGTCCCCCAAGAGGTCTAAAGTGATTTGTAAAACTGAGTGTAAATATCATGGAGACGCTGAGATATCATGGATGTGGTAGGACTGCACAGATAGATGTTAAAGGGGCTTTGGAACATCACAATGAGAATTGATCTCTCTGTATGAAACCTCAGTGGTCCCCAGTTGGCTTCTTTTGAATCTCTGTCTTCTTTTAATACTTGTGCTGTTTGTTAGGTACCTATAAACTATTTCCCTGGTGGAAATTGGCATCATTTCTTTGATTTCAGCAGAGGTTCTGGCCTCACCCTTGGCTGTTGGGGGAATTTGAAAAATGGCCAATGCAAATAATGTAAAGAAGCGGGGACTGAATAAGAAGGAAACAGTCAAAGGTGTGCCTGTGCGTAGCTTGGCTAACTGATGACTCAGGCCAGCCCTATGCCTGAAACATTTGCCAGTATAATAATGGCAGTTACGACTGTGATTCTTTGTAACATTTTTATACTGGCAAAAAAACCTAGCGTAGACGCAATTACACTGGCAAACATAGGACTGGAAGGGACCTCTCGGATCATCGCGTTCAGTCCTTCCTATTGCAGCCATCCCATCATACAATCCCGTTCATAATTTTATCAAGCTCCGTCTTCAAATTAGGTAGGTCCTTTACCCAACTGCTCCTATTGCAAATCTGTTCCAGAACTTCACTCTGCTCTGATGGTAAGAAACCTTCTCATTTCAAGTGTAAACTCTCATGGCCAGTTTAGCCTCCTTTGTTCTTGTGCCAATGTTGTCCTTTCGTTAAAATACCTTTTCTCCCTCGATGTATTTATGGAGAGCAATCACATCATAGGCACCGACTTCCTGAGTTCCCTGAGGGTTCTTGACCCCCAGGCCCTGCCCCCACTCCACCCCTTCCCCCAAACCTCCACCCTGCCCTGCCTCTTTCTGCCCCTGTTTCTCCCCCTCCTCCACTGCACCTCCTGCATGCCGCTGAAGAGCTGATCACCGGCGGGCGGAAGAGACTGGGTGGATGGGGAGGAGCTGATCGATGGGGCTGCCAGTGGGTGCTGAGCACCCACTATTTTTTTCCCCTGGATGCTCCAGCCCCGGAGCACCCATGGAGTCAGCACCTACTCCTCTCCTTTGCTAGGTTAAATAAGCGAAGCTCTTTTAGTCTACTCTCTTAAAATAGGCCCTCCCTTCCCCATATCATCCGACTAGCCCTTCACTACACCTACCCTAGTCTGATTTGATTTTTCTTCAACACGGGTGACCACAGCTGGACACAGGACCCAGCAAAGACCTTTTGCCATTATAGCTTAATTCATTTGGGGAAATGGTATGAGCGATAGCAGCATAAAAACTCTTTTGCTGGTATAAGCAGTATCCCGCCTAGGGGAGTTTGCTGGTCTAGGTACACTAGCATACCCTTTCTCGTGTAGACTAGGCATAAGCACTGGATGAGACAACCCTCTCAGAGGATCTGAAGAGTGAGGAAGTGGGTAGGGGAAATGTTCAAGGTACTCCCAGTGGGTATATCTAACAGTAATGGGACAAGACGGAGCAAAGGGGAAATGATGAAGTCTATCAGCCTACG